GAAATATGATCCTGGATTTAAGATATAATCCTATATAATTAAGTCTGTTAAAGGTGAACAATTAGGTGTCTGAAATATACTAATAAGTAAACTCAGTTATTTGAAGTCAATCTACATAGACACATAGTTTCATAAAAATATAACGCATCCAAATAAAAGTGACCTTACCAATCATTAGACTTGATAGGAAACGATTCATTGATGTGACGATGAATTCAATTACACAAGGTTCCAAAGCAAGAAATGATTGAGAATAACTTCTATATCCTTAGACGTCGGGTGCTAGATAAGGAGGGGAAATCAATCGACAAAGTTGTGAAGTTACACCGATTGAGATGGTTAGGATATGTGTTACTTCTTCCTAGCCTAGCCATCGTCTTCCTCGACAATGGACAATGTTAGCTGAAATAGGATGGATCAAGTTGGAAAAGAGTTAGCCAGTGGTGGTCAAACCAAAACATGGCATCTATCAGTCCATGAAATCCATAACAGTTAATTTAAGCCAGCCAGCCACGTAGGGAGATGTAGACTTCTTGGCTGGGATGGTAAAGTCCAATAAGATAATTGGTGATATGGTTTAAAATCGTTCTCAATAGCTGGCGCGGATGTACTCACTCTTTGTGATTTATCATATCCAATAAAAATCTGCTCTTCTTCCGTATTACTATTGTTTTCGCCTCACACTTCTGTGTATTATCTGTCTTTTGAATCATTTCATACTCTCTTCTCTTGCTCTGTGTGCTACATTGAGGGAGTGTAGCAACTCGAACTGCTGCACATCTGTGCAAAGTTCTATGTTGAAACGAGTCAGTATATGTCCTCAGCAAATTTTGGCAGAATCAAGAACTTTTGTTCTGTTCACTATCCTGAAAGTATTCACAATGCCCAGTGTCAGTAAGATGTTGAAAAAGTTTGATTTTCAAAACGTTATTTGCATTTAGCCTAATACTTTCCGAGATATGGTGAGACGATTCAAGTTAGATCTACATTTCTTGTCCTTCTAAAGTACGTAAATTATTCAGCTACAGATAACTGGAGGAACAAAATCGAAGATAACTTAGGATGAATTCTTGTCGGTTATTGTCTAGACTAGTGAAGACACTTTTTTATACAAAAGAATCATCATGGTTGCAAGAAATGTTCTGACTTGTTCAGTTTCCACTATGTTTTTTGACTGTCTCCTCAGTATTATATCGGCTGTATACTTGAGGAGAATAAGTAAATACTTTGATTGAACACCAGTAACTAGTGTTATGCGTCTAGTCCTTTCTTTGGTGCAGAGTGAATTCTGTCAGTCAGATTTGCAATGTGGCCACCATTCTAGGTAGCTCGCCATCACAGTGCACATTGACTGGATGATATTAGATAGTTGGATTCAATCGGCAGGAAGCCTTGGATCTAGGTTTCGTGCTAGTTGGCACTCAGCATCAAGGCGTATCTGCAACCTTAAAGGAATTGATGTCCCTTCTGAGTATCGAACCCGCGTCACAAATTTTTATATCAATTGAAATTTCCGTCAATCTTTAGCATTCAGTCTACTTCTATTTGCTGATGAATGTTTGTAAATAGCACGTAAACTTCTCTAGAACCTTCAACTCCTCTAATTTATCTCCTTAACAATTCATATTGTTTGTATGAAGTAATATGTTTCCACTAGTACTGGAATGTAGGTGACAGGACAGAATAAAATGCTATTGCAATTTTCATTGAAATCCCCATTCACATATTCATCATCTGGTGAATAATGAACCTTTGAAAGTATACCGTCTGTTCTAAGTTGTATGTTCAATAAATTGTAATTTTTGACCTTGTCTAATTATTTATTGATGACGTATTCATGAATATACACATATAACACTTGCCATTATTTCACTACATTCCTTGAGTTAATTTAAAAAAAAATATATAAATGGTGAGAAAACCTTTTGTGATCAACACTATTTATATAACAATGAATCATAGCTAAAGTGTATCTATTTTCAGAAAACAGCTGATATTAGAATTCTATCTATCATTTAGGAGTAGTACTATTGGAAAAGTTGATAAATAAGCATTCCAGCCAAAGTTCATTTGGCACTGACCATCTCTATATATGTATACTGTGATTTATATTCTTTTCGATAATAGTGTAACTAACTTTATATTGTGATATGTTTAATTCAAAGGTAAATAAATGATAATGTCGATATGGGTTTATATTAGAAAAGACAACTTTTATTCCATGCATGTTAATTTAAATGGGTTAAGTTAGATTAGTACAAGTTAAAACGAATATTCCGAATGAGTGAGGGACTAAAACCATTTGAAAAAAGAATAAACCCATCCCTAAGATGACTTTTATTCTTATGTTATTGTAGGATGAAGTGTGAAACGGAACTTGGCTCTGGAATTACAGAAAATTGTTTGTGTTGTTATACTAAGCTTTTTCTAACCTTCTTCAAATCTTTTCTGTTTATTTGCTTATTGGATATGTACTAGAGTTTTTAATTCAATACATTTTTAATAACTTTATATCTCTAAGAAAATCTCGTAAGACTAAGAGCCATCTTCATGTTCTCTTTATAAGCATAAGTATGACCATCAAAGTGGAATTTAAATCAGTTAACAGTGTTACTCAGTTATTGGGTTTTGTGAATCTTATTCGTATCAAGGTGAAATGTGAAATGTTATCATCAGGAAGATGCTCGTTTCTTTCTTTAAATTCCGGGATCCGTTAGCTTGCAAACTGTAGAACCCTAGATTTTCAAACTTGGTGAAGGTGAGACACTGGATCGTTATCCAGTGGTCTGTAGTTTCTTGGATTATACACTAAAATCCGAAAAAAGGATAACTGAAAACTCAGGACTTAAACTTAGATATACTTATCCCCTGATACTAACTTTATTCGAGGTGGGTTTTCTGAGGCTTGGGACAGGAATTGTAATGTGTGTGGTACCATAAAAGTTATCCATTTGCGACATTAGCTACAACTTATGTAGCGAATTTGGAGATAATATCGTGTTTTTGGATTAGGATTCAGTCTGTAACTGGCCACACCGAGGGAGTGGCCATCATGATGTCACCAACAGCAACCAAAGCTCTCATGCAGTGGGAACCAATCTCCTCCAGGATAATGACAGCCAGATTCAACTCAAAAGGAAGGAAAGTTACAGTCATTCAATGCTATGCGCCTACAAACGTCTGAGAACAAGAGAAGGAGGCTTTCTACAGACAACTACAAACAATAATGGACAACGTCCCGAATGGCGATATCAAAATCCTGATGAGTGATATGAATGCGAAGCTGGGAGGAGACAACACAGGAAGAGAACTCACCATGGGCCGAGAGGCCCTCCGCGAAATGAACGACAATGGTGAACTCTTCTCAGACTTCTATGCCTTCAATGATTTGATTGGTGGCAGTGTATTCAGACACAAGGATATACACAAGACGACATGGATTTCACCAGATGGAAACACCAAGAACCAAATAAACTTCATCTCAATTTCAAGAAAGTGGAGACGGAGCCTCCTCGACACAAGATCGAGGAGAGGAGCAGATGTGAGTTCAGACCACTATCTAGTACAAGGGACTTTCAAAGTGAAACTAAAAGCCTCGAGGATAGCTGGGGATAGTCCACAATGCAAGTTCAACACTCAATTACTGAAGGACACAACCACAAAGAACACTTTCACTGCAACTATCAGAGCAAAGCATCACTTAATAATCATGCATGGAAGACGATTGGAAGTCTCTGAAGACGATTCTCAACGAAACGTGTTCAACGGTTCTAGGAAGAAAGAAGAGACAAGACAAGGAATGGCTCTCAACGGACACTTGGAAATTAATAGAAGAGAGGAGAATGGTGAAAGAGAAAATGATTCAATGCAAGGACGTACAAGAGAAGGAGACGCTGAGCTCAACTTACACAGCAGTGGAGAAAGAAGTGAAGAAGAGTGCTAGGAAGGACAAGAGACGATTCTACGACAATCTAGCTACAGAAGCTGAAAAGGCAGCAGGCAAAAGGGACCTGAGGACATTATATCAGATAACCAAATCTCTATCCGAGAAGAGACCAACACAAGCGAAACCTATAAAAGACAGCCAAGGGAACCCAATTACCAAGGAAGAAAAACAGATTAAACAATGGGCGGATCACTTCAAAGGACTCTTGAACCGACCATCACCTGCAACCCGTCCAGAAATACCAACAACAGCGCGCACACAACTGCAAGTTGACACCAATCCTCCAACGAGAGCTGAAGTCTTGAACGCAATCAAACTTCTGAAAGCTGGAAAAACAGCCGGACCAGATGGAATACCCCCCGCCCTGAAGCACTGAAAGCGGACCCAGAGACGACAGCAGATATGCTGACTCCATTATTGCAAAAGGTTTGGAAGGAGGAAAGGTTCCTACTGACTGGAGGAAACGTTACCTCGTGAAACTACCAAAGAAGGGCGACTAACGCCTCACTCTGCAAGAACTGGCGAGGAATCATGCACTGCTCCTGTTGACGCCAAGCAAAATCCTGAGTCGCATCATCCTGGAGAGAATAAAGGACTCACTGGGAACAATAATAATACATATCTTAACATATGTTCGGGACTCTTCACCAGTACGCACCCACACCACGGGGTTCGAACCCAGGACCTTCTGGTTACAAGCGAGCTCGTATACCATTGAGCCTCTGGAACGCTAAAGAAAAAGCGTGCGTCGGTGGCATAGCGGTTTGGACGCTTGCCAACCATGCACATGGTCCCGGGTTCGATCCCCGGTCGACTCACTCCTTTACCTCGCTAAGCCAGAAATAATCCTGGTAAAGAGGAAGGGTTGGGCATGAGGCTAGCAACCCCATCCTGTAAAAATAAACCCTGACGCAGAAACTTCAAGCCACTAGGTTGAAGCCTTATGCTCCACTGGGGAACGTGAAGGGAAAAACATATTTGTGATTGTATCCTTCCTAAATCATGTTTATCACAATTTCGTTCTTGTTATTTGTTTTGCTCTTTCTTTTTTCAGTGTTCTGAAGATAATCAAGAAGATATATCCACTTTGATGGATATGTCTGCAGGTGTCTTACGTCTTTTAGATATTGACGACAATGATGATAAAAACAACTATGACAATAATAGTGATAATAATAATGAAGGCGGTGAAGCCGATGCTACTAATTTATCATGTTACAGAACTTGCGAGAACGCTATGCATACACTAATTCGTTTACAAGATGCATGGATTGCTGCACCAGTTATAATTGAAATGTTAGATACAACAGGCGTCAGTAAATCTTTTCATGGCAGCATGAACCCTACTGTAGAAATATATGAAACAGCTAAGCTATATTTAACTCGTATTCAATCAGCTTTAAACAAGCAAAGATGTGATATGCGAAATTTAATTTCAAATGATTTAAACTCATTACAAGAAAAGTCTACTGATCTTTTTGTGGAAGAAAGCTCAGTTGAAAACTTTGAAAATCTGTGTAAGGTAAGCATTAAATGTCTTATTCGAGTGTGATTAATAAATATTCTACTTTGATACTTTCTTTGAGTACTGATGAGCTTAATGTATTCAAGAGCTGAATAGAAGTTCATACAGTACATGGATTCATTGTCTTACTACATAAATTCAACTGTAATCCATCATCAAAATTATGTCTCTTGACTTCTGGTTATGCTTATGAATACGAAGGTAAAGAGGAGGTAATGAGCCTCAGTGTTCTAGTGGCGATCAACCCTATGTTTGCAATTTCAGGTGATTTAATGGCCTACAAGTTGATTTGAGGATAGACCACTTACCTATATTGTCACTTGGAATTTAAAACAAACGCTAAAGTTAAATTATTACCACTTTGAACTATTGGGATTGTTCAAATACAACCCCTGTGAGATATTCTTCAAATCAGGAGGAAAAGTCATTCTATGAATTTCACGACATACATTTCTGACCACTAAGAACTGGTTTGGTGAAAAATTGACATTGTTTTCCGGAAATATAGTCTTCTATCTGTAATGTATTTGTTTTCGCTTCTTTGATAATGCATTGACTCACTTTATTTTGTCATTCAGTCTATGATATTTATCGCTCTCCTTTTGGAAATTTACATAATTGCCAAAATATTGTTCATTAGACTAACACAATGAATACTAGTGGGATTGTTTATCTTCCATCCAGTTGTGAAATTCATATAATGCAGAGATTAGAAAGCGTCGTTCTGCTATTTATAAAATAAAAATATTCGATTATTTATAGCTTTCACTAGCCAGTTTGTAACGATTTGATTTGTTTCAAGTTTGGCCACCGACTGATATTAGATAGAGAACCAAGGAGTACTGGGCAGCTGTTTCATCCTAGTCTGGCACTCTTCAGTGGTACACATCCACCCGGGTTCAAACGAATCCGTACAAACTAACTCTTGAAAATATATTTGATGCTCGCCAGTAACAGGCCAATAGAGTCCACCAGGTTGGGTGTGAAGACGAACACTAGCCAATGAAATTGTCTGGTGGTCGCACCAAAATCACAAATCAACAGAAGCTGGATATCATGTGCCACTGAGTCAGGTCCCAGTGGCTAATTCATGTAGGAGCTTACCTTGTAACTGGAAGATTATGTATAAACTTTCAAGTATTATGATCCATCTTTGCTACCATTACTGTGAATGATAACCGAGCGATGGTCCCTCTTTGTATCATTCATTTACATTTACAGGTATCAGGTAGCCGTTGAATGTCGTTACATGTGATCATTTATCCTAATACTCTTAAATCAGAGGAAACACAAGTTACGGGAAGAGGAACAGGGGAAAAGTTTCTAAAGCCTTTTATGTATATGGAAAAGCTGTCGGTGAACTCGTTGGGGGGTGTGAGCACCATTTATGAACTAACCAAACAGAAGTTTATCAAACGAGCTTCCAGTTTTAACTGAAACTCTACTGAAAATAAGCGAACGTTTCCACGACTACACAACTTCCGCATAACGGAATTTAGTCACTGTCTTAAAATTCTACTATTTTTATTTCCCCCATTACAAGATAATTTGATGGGAACAACTTTTTTGGGGGGAGGGGGGACTGAATAAACTGTTGCCTTTTTAACCAATTGGTATCTCTCTACAGTAGTTCAAAAACTTCTATGGATATCCATTCTTGTCAGGCGAATCTATCGCCATTTCAACTATATCAACTAAAGCATCATCGTCAGATACGCTGAATCCTTTTGAATAAGCACTTAATCAAGCCCCTCATGTATTGTAGAGGACAGAAACCGTGAGAATTTAAATACTGACCTGTTCAAGTTGGCTTGACATAAATTGACCACATTATTGAGACATACTGTCTCCGACTCAGATAAACACTGTCTCCTAATCACCCTGTCCAAATTCATCTAAATGCTCTCACCTAGGTACATGCCACCAAAATGTCCTTCAACTTTATGAGCCATTTACGATATTTATATTCCACTTTTTTTCTATTATTATTATTATTATGATTATTATTATAACTAGTATTACTATTATTGTTCGGTAGAACACACATGTAAGGCTTTGTCAATAGAACAGACAAAACACCATCTAAAAACAAGTCACTAATATGTATCACTAAAAGCCTTCAAAAATAAATTCAGCAGTTGCGTACATTACAGTAGTTACATAGTTTTGATGGCAAGATCTAGCTATCAGCAGCAGTAAAAACGTCAAAAGTTGACCAAATATTCAAATAAAACTTATCGTGTAAAGCCAGTTATAAAAAGGTAGGTCAGGATAAGAATGAATATCAAAAATTGAGATCAAGGGAATATTAACCCTAAAGTTGAAATAGCAACATCTCAAATTCAATCGTAGTATAACAAAGAATTTTCTGAATAGCATGAATGAATCAAGTGTAAGTGGTGGAAATCACAAAGTTTTAAAGAAAACATATCTTCAACAACTGACCAATCAGTAGGGGAAAAATAAATCACACGTTGGATTACTATTCAGCGTAAAAATGTTCATGGAAAATGTGTTAGGAATTCATTTTCTGAAAGTGACTTGGCTGAGATGGACTTCAGAATCTTTGTTTAGCTAAAAATCAGGCTCGGAGTTTGGTAAGTCGGCTTCACCTTCCAGATTTCAAATCTACGTCTATTTGAATATTGGCATGTACGTTTGAGACGGTAGAAGACGAAGACTTGGTAATTTTATTTATTTTATTTTATTTAAATGCAGAAAAAACGTGGTACAATATGACACCAGGAAAGATGCGCCACACAAGTTGTGTGAGGACTGAGATACTGTTCGGGCCCCCAGACCGAAGCAGGTGGTTTTCTTAAGGGACCGCCCCCCGAGCCTTTGACTTGGAGTTTAATCCACAAGGCAGCGGAGCTGTATTCCCATGGTTGCTGGTGACCCATACGGGTTCATACGCCATTTGATTTGATTGGAATCTGGAGTCCATGTACCCCATGGTAACTGCTTTTAGTCTAACTGCTATCCAAACAACCTTCCTGACATGGTAGGACCTGCAGGGACACGAGTCCCAGCCAGTTTAACTTCCTGGGTCACTGCGGTATTCAAGCCCGACCACCATGGCAAGGTAGCAGTTGTCGGCCGGGAAAGACTTGGTAAAGGAATATATGATTGGTTGGATGATTTCATCATGACCTGACATCAGATAGAGAACCATCGGGAAACCTGGGGGTACTGGACATCTGTTTTGTCCTAGTTCGAGACTTTTCAGCAGTACGAGTTCCAAACTAGGAATGTTCATTTGGAAATTGTTATCTCGATATAGCCAAATTATGAGTACCTTATCTTCAACGCATCATTTGCACAGATCCCCAGTTGTGGTACTTCTGGACTTCATGTTGTGTTTCTTTGTGTTCGTTTCACGTCTCCCATGTATCTCCACAACACTGTATCATTCGCCTTCTCTGAAATCAAATGTATCTCCCTGCTATTTACTGTTTTTCCTCCAATGAACATCTTATATACTACTGATAGACCTTATCAGTAGTAGTCTCCACAACTTGAATCGGGCATAATTAATCTTAGAAAATGTGGGAGATCAATCATTAAACCCGTATTTTATTGATACTTCTAAAAAAAGTTGCCGCATATCTTGTATGACAGCTGGTTTTTCTTTGATGTTGATGGACGGTTTTCTTCACTTTGTTACCTAAATCCGTTTAATTTTGTTTTTACATGTATAACTTTCAGAAATAAGACGTTTAGTTCATGTTTTTGAGGATTATCTGTAAATTAAGCAACCAATTTAGGTTGATTTTTATTCAAGTCGATCGATTTAACTTAGTCTGAATTGATTGTTATTTTTTGCTACCACCTCCATATTTGAATTTTTACTTATTTTAAACTACAGAGTCAAAATGAAATCATACTCTTATAGATCTGATAAACATTGCTATTAATGGAAGTCATTAAGCTGGTTGAAGAGCCGAGTTCGTCTGTTATTTCTTGATAGTTTGTGAGGATAAATGGTAGCCCTGTTAATATATGTGTAAAACTTGAGCACTGTGGTAGTAAGTAATAAGAAATCTAGAGAATAGTTCAGCTATAGCACTCGCCACATGCAATTACACACAACTATACAATAGGATGGGATAGGATGACAGTTTTTAAATCTAATGTCACAGGATGGAGGGAGAGAGCGATAACAGAAGCTTTTTTTATCGAATCAACTGCGAATACATGTAATAGGAATGATTCATCACCTGTCCACCCAGATATCCGGAAAATTCTACTACCCCAACGACGACAAATAGGGGAAGACAAAGAAAACTATAAAACTCAAGTTTCAAAGTCGTGTGATTACAATTGATATGATTATGAACAAAAATTTTTGTTCAAAACTGTGTCATCCACTGAATAATACTGTTTCACTGCGTGATACATCTAATAAACAAACTAATAAATGGTAGCCCCTTATATAAGAGTCATTTTTATGAACCGTCTTATCAAGTTTATCTCACAAACCGATATTTACTGAAGAGCTATACAAAGTCATATGGTATCATCACGTGACTGTGTTTTTAAAAGAATGCTTCAAATTAGTTGTCTAGATTCCGGTGATTAGAATGCTCTTCATTCTTGCTTATAAAGTAAGCAACATTCATTTTTTAACAGCTGATACTGTAACGATGCTAATCGTGTGAATTTTTATCAGAGCTTTTGGAATTCCATCCTGAAGCTGGACAGCTATGAGAGGTGGATGGAAATTTATTTGCCCATTATTCGGAAATGATAGTTTCGCTTTATCGCAAAATAGTATAAGTTGAAAAATATGAACTATTAGCTTCTGATCCAATGGTTGACTGGGAACCTTCTAGCTTTTAATCGAACCTGGCGCCCCGAGCTTGGTTGTTAGTCTATTCAGGCGAGCTCACTGTTAACGTGTCTCAGACTATGCAGGAATAGTTAATCAATGCTCTATGTCTTTTTATTCTTCTCTAGCTAATAACTACACGGGATCAGTTACACCTTGAAGTCAAGCGAATCGCTGACAAGTTAAACGAATGTCAGTTATCGCCATTGACAGTTAATTACACTCAGTTGTGTTTCTAATAAACAGTAGTTAGGACTTGGTATTATGTGTCTAGTCCTCTTGTTCGGTACATACTGAATCCTGTCAGTCAAGTTTGTAGTGTGGTCACCATGCTACACGGCTCACCATCAAGGTCCCTTTGAATTGTTGTTGTTATTGTTAGATGGTTGGAGGCAGTCGCCAGGAAGCCTCAGACCTAGGTCTCGTGCTTGTCGACACTTGTTATTAAGGCATAACTGTGTAGTAGCCACACTGCAAACTTGGCTGACAGAATTCAGTCTGTACCAGACAGAAGGACTAGATGCATGATACCATGTACTAACTGTTATCCAATCAAAGTATCCAATAGAGTGCTACAGGAGGTCAGTCGCAAACCCGAACAGCTCAGTATTAACATCTCTGACTGCAGCACTAGGTGTCAGGAGTTCGAATCCCAGGAGGAACATGATTTCCTACGAGATTGCAGACACGCTGTGCTGGTGAGTGTCAGTAAGCACGAAACCTAGGTCCAATGCTTCCTGTCGATTGTATCCAAATATCCAATAGTACTCAGCTGTATTCACTCCTCTGCTTACAGGTTATTGTTCCCCTGTGATAAGATTCCTGACATTAGTTATTAATGTACGACCAATCTTTTTAGAACTCATTATATTCGTCA